TTTTTGGGTTTGGGTTAAATGGGTATTGGGATTTTGGGCTTGGGTAGTTGGTAGGCTTTGGGTTTTGGATAATTGGGCTTTGGTTTGGGTTTGATTGATTTTGGGCTAGACTTTTCATTTCACCTCTCCAACTTTCCATCTCTTCAATTGAGTCCTTTTTCTCATCTTCTTTTCCAATCTTCTTCGTGAAATTTCCCTTTTGCTTGCAAACCTAAAAATGAAAGTAAAATCGAACAGATTAATTAAGATAAAAACTAACATAAAATAAAATCCTTTTTTTTTTAAAAAAAAAAAATTTTGAGTTATGACAACTGGTGAACGATTTTTTGCAGTTGTCAGTATCAGCATATGGATCACCAAAGGCAAAAAGTGTATGAGGGCCATCATAATTCCTATTCAATCCCTAAACTGCACAAATACAATACAATAGACCAATTTAGAAAACAAGAACTAAAGAAAATGCATGGATTAATGTTTTAATACTGACCTCCAGAGATTGAAGCCAAGAGGCAGAAGAGATCATAAGAGAAAGAATTTCTTGCAGGTTTTGCCATTGATAGAATAGTTGACCAAAAAAGAGAAAGATTAAAGGAAGAAAGACTCCTTCAGTTTTTATAGCATGCCGACCATATATGAGAAGAGTCTCAAATATTCTTGGGTTTAAGATTTTCTGATTAAGGAATTTTTTTTTCTATTATTCACTTTCTTAATAATCGAATAAAGTGCAGATTTCCCCCTTCAACGTTTTGGGTGATGACAAATTACTCCATCAACTGAATTCACTAGCAAAGACACCCTCTATGCTGCGATAAGTTTGAGGGGCTGTTTGTGCGTGATGAACTCAATTAATAGGGTAATCTGCCACCATGCGAAAAGTTCAAGAGGTAATTTGCATGTTTTGTCATAATTATTTTGAATTCACATTGGTGTGCTAAATAAAATTTTCTAAATGCACTGTCATAAAGAAAGCATCTTATGACATAGCATTTTGCAATTAATTTTTTTATTTAGAGGTAACATATAAAGAAAGTATCTTATGGTGTTCTTACAGTATTGTGGATGAGATTGTTGTCATATCATTATTTATTAATGCTACATTTTTTTTATTGTCTTAATTTTTTTAATTTATCAAATTATAAGTTATATAATAAAGATTTCCTTTTCAAACCCTTTTTCATATCTTAAAATCTAAATTTATGATTTTAAATATAAAAATTCATACCATTAACCACCATAACATCCATCAGGGACATAAGGATATAGGATTTAATGATTTTACATCACTGAAAACATTTGGTGCACATCTATGTTTAACTAATTGCTTTCATAAACAAAGATTATATATTTTAATTACCCAATATTTTTAGACGACTGAAAAAAGACATTACTCCTCTCTTCACCCAATTAAACTCGTATCACTGCTTGGGGAAGAATATCAAACCAAAATTTTCTTGCTTTCTCCTCTCTTCTTTATTTTTATTTTTATTTTTATTTGGGGGGGTGGGCATGAATTCCTTTTCAATGCA